ATGTAAACGCACTAGTAACTTGGTGTTATAAAACATATTGTTGTGTGTGATTTGGTTAGTGAGTGCAAGCAAGCATTGTATCAAAGTTTATCCGTTCCTTTTATCCAAAGTAGGATAAAAGCGATATCTTTGGGCCCCTCGATGGTTTAGTGATGACATACGTAAATGCTCGGCCGGGCTAGGGCTAATTTGATTTGTTCAATTAGTCTGTCGTCATAAATCGGAAATCGAGATATAGTACAAAGAGAATGATTGAAATCATATCTCATACGATATCTAGAATGGAGGAATATATGATCCCTTATCTAAGGACACGCGTATCTGATATGATCAGAGTTGACAGCGGCTTTGGAAAGCTACGATTGCAGATCAGGATCTGAAGTCATACGCAGAATAGTTGTTAGACTTATCCAAGTGGGAGACTGTTGGATTAGTGTCTAAGTCCATAACTATTTTGGTATGTACTTGACCCGATGGTGCATGGTCCTTTTGGGTTGCCTTCACCAAAGCAACTTGATTGGAGAAATGAATAAAGAGAGAAGGATAATATGATTTATTAATATGTTATAAGAATAATATATTAAAGGAGAAATCATATTTGTTTAATTAATATTGGTCAATAATTAATTAAGAATTAGTTTTGTGATCAAATGTAATTAATTAAACTAGAGGGGCTGATTTGTAATTATGTGATAGTTACAAAATAAGGTAAGGATTATCTTATTTATATGGTGGACGAATTTAAGGTTGGAAAGCCTTAGAATTCGAGTATGATAAGGATTCAAGGATTATCTTATTGGTTGCTTAATGGATAATCAACTAGATAAGGATAATGACTGAAACCCTATCTCTACACCTATATAAACACCCCTAGGGTCATGAATTCGTGTATCCCTTCCCAAGAGGTCCTAGATACGAATTCTAACCTCTCACCTCTCTCTTTATACCTTCTCCACTTGCTTATGGTGTTTGTAAGCCATTAGAGGAGTGACACTTGTGACTCTAAGCCTTCCAAAGTCAATACAAGGAGGAATTAGGATTGTTATTGCTACATAACAATCAAGGTATGATCTTAAACCTAATTACATATTAATATTCTTACTTGTATGCTAGAATTAGGGTTTATAGTCTTGGATTCAAAGCATGTACAATAGAGAAACCTAGATCCAAGCATTAGGGTTTGTATGAGAACATAGGATGTCTTATGACCAAAACCCATCAGTTATTAACTGATGATAGCCTATGTATATGGATAACCAAACACAGATTTAAAAGGTTGGAAAAATCACATTCTTCAAAAATTTGTATTCTTCAATCATAATGGAAACATAGAGAATTTCGTAATAAGCAAGTTTTGTTCATGATTAGATTGTTGTACTCTCTAGATAGATCCATACCAGGGAAATTTCTATCTTAGAACACTGCAAAAGCAAGCCTCAATCTGTACAAATCGAGGAAGAGAATATGAGTCAAAAGACTTTGTTGAATTTTTTTCTTTACATGGTATTATACATCAAGCAATTGCTCCATATACTCCTCAACACAATGGAGTGGCTAAAAGGAAGAATAGAACATAGAAAAAACATGATTAATTCAATGTTAATTACTTATGTAGCACCACATAATCTGTGGGGAGAAGCATGTCTTGCAACAAATTCAATACTTAATAGAATTCCTCATAAAAAGAGTGATAAATCACCCTATTATCTGTGGAAAGTGAGATTACCCTCTTACAAAAGGATGAAAGTGTGGGGTTGCCTTGTTAAGGTACAAGTACTTCTTCACAAGAGGAATAAACTTGGACCAAAAACCATAGATTGCATCTATCTTGGACCAACCTCAAATAACGCAACCTATAGATTTCTAGTGTTAAATCACATGTTGATGATATCCATAATCATACCATCATGGAATCTGCAAAGGATAAATCTGTCACACCCCCAAACCAAGGATGGCAGAAACGACCGGGGATGGAGGACTTCATGTATAGTATCACAACAACGAGTATAATAGTGCTTAAAGTAAATACAACCATCATAAATATAATTGAAAAGTTTACACCATAGTATATGTTTACATGTTTCAAAATCAATTACATTATGATGACAAAATGAACTGTTTGACGATTTAACATCCCATCCTCAAAATGCTGTTGGTTTCCTGTTTCATTGATTTCATGAGAATACAAGTAGTTTTGAAAAGTGTCAACAATTAAGTTGGTGAGTTCATAAGAGTTTTGTTTGAGGAAGAAACCGTTTTCCTTGTAAAAGCGACTGAGTATGTTTCCAGAAAATTCAATATTTTCTTTATTAGATCTGAAATGAATGCTCCTATGTTATGCGATAATGTACCCTAGAAAGACCCGTAGATTCCTTCTATAATCACCCAGTGTATATAAGTTATCTAAAATTTAAGTTAAATAAACCGTCGAATATAATGGGTCTGCCCTAGGTCCACAACCAAACAAGAAACAGGAAGTAAGGCGGGCCCACCAATTCTAAGTCGATTGTGACTAGATTATTACATAACTCTAGCATATACACTTAGCAATTATATCTAAAGTCTAACAATTCTAGATGAAATGTAGT